AAAAAAAAGCAAAGAACCAGGTGTGGCGGCACATGCCTGTAATTACAGTACTCGGGACGCTGGCCAGCCTGGGCTACATAGTGAGACCCTGTCTCAAAAATTTTTTTTTAAATTGAAAAGAAAATGAATGTCAATAAAAAAGAAAAATAATTAAAAGAGAGCAGCTTTCTCGTGTGGGGTGGTGGGGTGGCAATAAAATGGAGGTCAAGCTAGGCATGGTGGAGTACACCTCCATACCAGCACTCTGGGAGACAGAGGCAGGAGGAATGCAAGTTCAAGCCAGCCGGGCAGTTTAACAATTCAGGAGAGCCTGTGTCAAAATAGAAAGGGGCTGCTGATATAGTTCAATGCAAAGTATCATAAAATAAATGCATAAAGTCAAATTTATATGTCTGCATTTCAGCAATAAAAATTTACCAAAGCTTGTCTCTTCACAGTCTTCAGAGCACGGAGGAAGATGGAATTCCTGCAGCAAAGAAACATTCAAGAAAACACGCATGAAACAGGACTGTCTGAAACCACAGGCCCATCTCCATATAAGACTACGGAGCCTCCAGCTTGCAGAGGGACTGGGCAAAGCCATGAAGTCCTTCTGTCCCATCCTAGTTCCTCACATGGTGGCAGGACAGAGAGAGCCACAGATTGGAGGTAGAAATTTTGCAATAGGAAAAAAATTTTAAGTACTGGGGATTGAGCCCAGGGATGCTCTACCATCAACCTATATTCCTCGACTTATTTTACCTTATTTTATTATTTTTTGGTACTGAGGATTGAACTCACAACCTCATGCTTTCCAGTTAGGTGCTGTGCTGCTGAACTATATCCCTGACAAGACCTTTTTATTTTAATACAGTGTCTTGTTAAGTTTTCCAGCTGGCTTTAAATTTGTAATCCTTCAGCTTCTGGGTAACTGGGATTACAAATGTGTACCACCATGCCTATCTTGGATCAGATTTCTTTAACTCTCTTATCAGAATTATTTGTTGTTGTTTGAGACAGGGTCTCACTATATATGTAGTTCAAGCTGGCCTTGAACTCCCTATGTAGCCCAGGGAGGCCTTAAATTTGCAGCAATCCTCCTGCCTCAGCCTCCTGAGTCTTGGGATCCCAGACATGCACCATAATTCCCAGCTCTACCAGGGTCTCTTAGAAAGTGGTACTTTCTCTGCTCCCATGGTCAGCAGAAGCGGTGGCCAGTGTCTGTCTTTATACCTGGCTGGCTGACTTTCATGCATTCATAGAACTAAAAGTGCTCAGCACAGACTAGGTGCTGACCTTTTTTTTAAAAAAAAAAAAAAAGAAAGAAAAGAAAGCTAGGGGCTGGGGATTTAGCTCAGCAGCATAAGCGCCTGCCTTACAAGCAGGCAGTCTTGAGTTCGATCCCTGGTACCGACAAAAAATAAATAAATAAAATAAAAATAAAGCTCCCTCCAATAAAAACAATGAAAAAAACATAAAGCTACCACATGGGGGCTGGGGACATAACTCAGTGGTAGAGCACATGCTTAACCAACCAGGTGTAAGGCCCTGTATTCAGTCCCAGTACAGGGGAAAAAAGAAACCTATAAAACTTGAGCTGCTGTAGCCGTGCACAAAATAAGTTTTCCTTCAGAATATAGAAGAAGCATCAGGCCTTCCCTCTCAGGAGTGCCTGTTTTCACTATTGCGATGTGCTGAGCTGTATCTCTAGCCCTTACTGTCTTTAATATATATGTGGGAAAAATAAAAGTTTACTTCTCAAAATGTAACTAAAATCATAGATAAATTAAGCATTGTGCTTAAAAGGCCATTAGATCTCTCTCTCTCTCTCTCTCTCTCTCTCTCTCTCTCTCTCTCTCTCTCTGTGTGTGTGTGTGTGTGTGTGTGTGTGTGTGTGTGTGTGTGCACGTGTGTGTGCAGAGTCTCAGTTTATTGCCCAGGCTGATCTCAATTGCTTGGGCTCAATGAATAACCTTCTTGCCTCAGCCTTCCAAGTAGCTGAAACTACAAGCAAATGCCTTAGCACTGGGGCCTAGATTTCATGCATAGTAATAAGGAATAACCCTACCTTTTTTGTTTTCATAGATTTCTTGTACATCTTGCCCCTTGAACGTTATTAAATGGTGCTTCTAAGATCAGACCTATGGTCAGTGTCTTTCTTCAGTTCCCAGCCCGTAGCTGTGGCCTTGACAGGTACAAAGGGCAGGTCGTTCAGGGTGGCTGGAGGGAACCGACCTTGGAGCTGGAGGTCCAGGTTCTCTTGGCTATAGCAGACAGAGGTCTGAACTTCTCCACTAAAATGTAAACTAGAAGCTTAAGTCTTGGGCTGTTTTCTTCCTAAGAGATAGCATTGATTGAAATACTGCGTGGAAGTCTTAGTTGAAGCTTTGGGAAAGAGAGCAGTGGGATAAGACACTCACCGTGGAAAGGGGCGTCTTTATTCTGTGGTCATCTGTACACTGGTCTTGAACTGCACTAACAGAACGAAGCCTGCAAGACCTGCTCTGAGCTTTCCACCTCCTTGACTATGGCTGGTTCCATTCATTACTTCATAAATGAGTAACCAGAATTCTGCTTCATCTCATAATACTAAATAATAGTAATTTGCTAAAATAATAGCAATTAGTTCTGATGCAGCCGTATCCAACAAAGCCATGCTGGGGTCACTGCACCACCCCCGTCAGGACTCAGGCATACTGGACAATAATAGGAATGATAAGGCCTTTAGTGTAAAACTATGTAAACCCATGATGGGATGCCCAAATCAAAAGCAAAGAGAGGGTACTGGTAAGGACATGGGAGAATTGAAACGCTTACGCATCGCTGATGGGAATGTAAAGTGGTAGCATTCCTCTGGAAAATGACATGGCAATTCCTCAAAAAATTAAACAGTTGCCTTCCCATCTAGCCATTCCAGTTCTTAAACTTTTTTTTCTTACCAGTACTGGGGATCGAACTCACAACTGCCTGCTTGCAAGGCAGGTGCTTATACTGCTGAGCTAAATCCCCAGGCCCACCATTCCAGTTCTGAGAATATACCCAAAAGAAGTGACAGAGGTACTCCGATATCTGTACTGCGTATCTGGCATGTGCATAGCAACTCTGTTCACACTAGCCATAGGGTGGAAGCAGCCCACGTATCCACTAATGGAGGAATAGATAAATTAAACATAGTATGTAGATACAATGAGGGCCAGGGTTGTAGCTTAGCAGCACGGCGACTGCCTGGCAATTGTGAGGCCCTGGGTTTGATTCCCAGTAGTACCAAAGGAAAAAAAAAAAAAAAAAAGCAAAGATGTAACGAATTATTGCCAGGCATGGTGACACATGCCTATAATCCCAGCCCAGCACTTGATATTTTTTCAAGACTGAAGCAGGAGGATCCCTAGTTCAGGGCCAGCCAGGACTACATTGGAAGACCGTATCTCAAAAATTATTTTTTATTATGTTGAAGACAAAGGACATTTTGACTGTACTGCATCCATGTACTACAACATGGATGATCCTAGAAGACATGCTGAGTATAACGAGCCAATCATAAAAGGTCGAAGACTGATTCCACTTACACGATGTATCAGAGTAGTGAGATGCATACATGCAGGAAGTAGAATAGTGATTGCTGAGGCTGAGTTTGGGGAGAGCGAGTAGGAGTTACTGTTTAATGGGTACAGACTCTCAGTCGGAGAGCATGAAAAGTCTGGGAGATGCATCCTGGTGACCACTGCAAAGCAACACGAATGTACTTACTGCTAAAGAACTGTGCACTTGCAATGGTAGGTTTTTTAAAAAGTGTGGGAGATGGCATAGCCAGAAGCAACTGGTTTAATGCTTCACTGGTAGACCGTGCTAGGCTTTTCCCTTAGAGAAGCCAGATTTTACACAGTGAGCCTGGTAGCATGGTGGTGTTGGGAACACTCTGCCTCTGGCAGGGGCTGAGGTCTGTTTACAGTGGTAGAGTAAGCCGCACCTACCCAGTATAGTTCCCAAGTTGGGTCTCTGAGCATGTCAGGCATCCCACAAAATGTTTGTAGATTTAAATGCAATGATTTGAGTTGTCTCCAGGGAAAGTTTTAGACTAGCCCTATTCACACCTACCCAGGAATGCTGTTATCTTTCAAAAATTGAACATAATCCACTTACCTTGTGTGTACTGCGTGCCACAGACGGACCTAAATGCCTTTTATACATTAACTGATTTAATCCTATGAGGTAAGTACTTGTGTCCCATTTTACAGGTGGGAAAACTGAGGCTCAGTGAGGGAACATATATAACTAGTAATTTGTGGACTCGGGGTTTTAAATGTGTATGTTGTAACCCCAGGGCTCGTTTTTCCTAATTATTATGTATCTTGTTTTCCTTGAAGTAGTAATGTCTAAGACCATAGACTTTATTGACCCTGAAGTGGTCATTCTGGATCTCAAGATCCAGAATAGAGACTGGAAATTGAGGGCGAAGATATTTCTTATGATCCTGATTCTTACTCAGCAGCGTGGCTTGCCGCTGATGGCAAATACTGAAGTCAGGGTAAAGGGGCTGATGGGTTTAAGGTCAAATTTTTTGAACTAAAGGAATTTCCCTCCAATTCTGAAGCAGCCCCTCAGTGACGAATCTGCCGCCTGTCCCCCAGGTTCTGCTACCAGTGAATTCTCTAGGTAATCAAGACAGACAAAATGAAACACCATTACAGAAAAACTGAACGATGCTGAACCCTATATAAGCCATTTTTTCTAGTGGTTCCAAGATGCGACCCAAGACGAATCTACAATTCCGGAGTGGAAGCCAGGGGGCGGGCTAAGTAGCGACCATTTTTGTTTTGCGGCCGTGCGCTCTCAGAGCATCTTAACTAACAGGACCCCACGGAGGAGGCGGAACCTATCAGGGAGAGGGGTGTGGCCTGAGAGACGTGATGATTCAAATGGGCTAATGAGCAGGGCGCATCTGGCACAAGTCGCCAATGACCGGGCGCGTAGGGGCGGAGCCCACAAGCGCTACTGGGTTAGATTGTACCGCAGCTTTGGCGCATTTTCGGCTGGTTTGATTCATCCATTTTGAAGAGACGGGGCGCAGGGGGCTCGTCTGTTCCAAGGGCCCAGAACCAAGGAGTGGCGGTGTTTAAGAAGCCAGCAGCTCGGGGTTCGGCGACAGCGGCCCCATCGGCCGAAGTTCGGGGGGGGTGGGGCGCCGAGCGCGCGGGGTGGGGGGGGTCCTGGTCTTTGGCTTCTCGACTGGGTCCTGTTTCGACAGCGAACATGTCTCGGCCTGTCAGGTCAGTGCGGAGTCGGAGGCCTGGAGCGGGTTGGAGGGGGTTGGGAGTGAGTGGCTAAGGTGTGGGGGCCAGGCTAGAGTCGGCTGTCCCGGGTACCAGGCGCAGCCTCCTCCTTTAGGGTCCTGCGCGCGCCCTTGAGCGTGGGGGCCCTGCTGGCGCGCGGGGGCGGCGGCCACGCGCCCGTGCGCGCGCCCACTCCCGCCCCGCGCCGCTGCAGGGCTCCGGCCCGCCGCGCAGCCTCCCCCACCCGCCGCGCTGCACTGGAGCGGGCGGGGTGTTCCCGGACCGCCGCGGCCCGAGGGGGAGGGGTGTGGACCGGCGCCCGGAGGACGGCAGACTCGCACTGGCCCCCCGCCTTGAGCCACGAGGGCGGAGGCCCCGGGCGGCCCCTTCCCCCGCTCCCCGCGTGGGGGTGGTGGCGCCCGGCCCTCTTTTCTCCCGCGGCCCGGGCTGCGCGTGCACAGGGGGAGGGGCAGCCCCGCCTCCGGCCCGGCCCGGCGTGGGCGGGACCCGTTCTTTCCCCTGGGGCCAAAGTGAGAGTTTGAGACGACCCCGAAAAATAACGGCCCATGGTCTCTCCCCGTCTCCAGCTTTTGAGATCGTTAACCCCGAAGTTCTCCTATTCTTACAACTGGAAATGCCCTTCCTCGGGGAAACAAATGCCCGTACCCTGCGAGTCAGGGAGGCGCGGGTTAACAGCACGACCCAAATCCCGTGTGGTTCTCGTCCGTCCCCCATCCCCCGCCCCAGCCGCGTACACGTCTCGGGATATTTCTGTAACCCTCTCTTTCCCCGGGTGACTTTAGTCATAAGGGGCTGGGTTCCGTTAGCAAGTTTGCTGCCCCCTCCCCCGCGGTGGTGGGCTCGCCCGGTGCCAGCCTCCCGGCTATTGTATGGAATGTGCCATTTTGCAGGGGTGTGATTTAGTTAAACCTAGTCTGATGGGCCTTAAAGAGGAAGGAGAGCATTTGTAAATAAGTGTTGCTCTTAATATAAAAGACTGGCTACTTTGTAAGTATTTCCTAAAAGAGAAAGATACAGTTTTTTTAAGTGTTTAATAGTCTCTTCCTCTTTATTCCAACTTTTTGTGGGCAGGGAGAGTATCTTAGAGTTCTAAAGAGCGGCTCAGGACCCTGGGAATGGTTTTGTTGCCCACGGTGCTGGCCTGCCTGAGATGATCTGTGTCCAACTGGTGGTGGTGTGGGGCTTTGGACGCCCACGCACGGGTGGGAATGTGGAGAATGCACTGACTACCTGCTTCTCTGCCATGCAGTTTCATCCTGAATGTATAAATCTCCATCACCAGATTATAGTATGAATACTTTTGACATAAACAGTGACCAGTGTATCCAATCGATTCTGGATATTTTCTTTAGGATTGGGTAATCTAGACAGTCTTAAAATAAAGATTTCTTTTATCTGGATTGAATTTTGTGTCTCTTGGAAGTAATTATTGTTTGGCAAATTAAATTACTATTTTTCACTGCCTTTTAAATATCAGTGCACCAAATTGTAATGACGTTTTATTTTATCGTAGTAACTTTTATCTGCCTGAATTCTATTCCAGATTTAGATGGTGGGAAGGTAACTTTTTTTTTTTTTTTACTGAAATGCTTGAATTTTTAATATCACCATGGGGGATAAATATATTGAGCACTTTCTTGGGAGGCGTTGGGATTTCCTTGTTATTAAATATGTTGTTAAAACAGTCTTAATTTTAATCTTGTTGTGTTGCCCTTTATTGAGGAGTGAAATCGTTAGGGTTTTTTTTTTTTTTTTTTTTTTTTTTTTGTCTTTTTCGTTTTTATCAGTACCAGGAATCGAACTCACGACTGCCTGCTTGCAAGGCAGGCGCTTATGCCGCTGAGCTAAATCCCCAGCCCCTCTAATTATATTTTAGTTATAAAGTGTCTTTGTAACCATCTTTTAAAGACGTCTTAAAATTTACTCATGACCAACAATAAAGCAGAAATAATTAAACTTGAGTTTGGTGGTTTGTTAAATTTTGCAATAAAAAAGCCCTGACTCAGGGAAATACGATGTTTCAAATTGAAGAATCTGTTTTTATCTTTGAGCATTTAACAAAGAGTTACTGACTTGATTCCAAAGTAATCCGTCTTGTTTAAAAACAAAAGGCACATATTTGAAAACACCAGAACAGTATTATCTCTTGGTGTAGATTTCTGCCAAAGGTCCTGTGTGTACTTTTGCCATTTTTATGGTTATTTTGACTAAATGTGAACCTTATTTTAATGTGAATCTAAACATGTAAAGGGCATCTCAGAATGCATTATTGGTGCTTTGACAACAATTTGTAAAGCGTATGATAGGCTGATGGGCTACAGCATGGTTTCTGAGGATGTGTCTCTAGCATATTATTTCTTTTTAAAATTGTGATGCTGGAAATTGAACGCAGGGACATTGACACAGAGCCACATCCCCAGCATGCCATATTTACAAGCAATTTCACATCTGTAAAATGGCCTTTTTATTTACAGTGTTTAGGTAGTTTGAGTATTTTGTGTGCAAATTAATTGCATAAAATTGGAACTAGAAAAAGAGTTCACAGGGTAATGAGCTAAACAAGTGAAGTACCGTGTGTCATGCTAATAGATGCCAGAGCTGGGCCTAGAACCTAGATTCCTTAATTCTCAGTCCTCAGAGTGTTTCGATGGCTCTTAAGATTTGTGAAGAAGGAATGAAAAAAGCCATTGCTTGTTAAAGAGGAAAAAAAAAATTGAGATTTACCGACTTGGCTGAACTAGGAACCAGGTTTCTTGATCCACCTTCGTGTGCTATCCAGACATCTTCCTTGTTGAAAGAGAGCCAAGTCACTCCAGTCCGCCTTTTCGCTATTCTTTGTAACAGAAGTGAGCTTCATATCTTGTCTCTTAATACTTTAGAACACAAAGAACCTTGGCCGATCCAATTGAGGTGTGAAATTACAGGCTTTTCCAGGTTGATTAAAAACTTTATTGTCGTTTACACTTGTAAGAATAGTTTCTCTAATATTCCAAATTGCTGTCTTTTCAAGAATTATTTGAGATATGTCCAAATTCTAAACATTAGTATTTTCTCTCAACAACCACAACAAAAAAATTAGTTCTAAGAGGTCCTCAGTTAAAGCAAAAATTTAAGCCCAAGGAAGCTTAGAACTAGTTACCGAGTAAACACTGTAAAGTAGTATTCTAGCAAATGTGGTTGTACATGAACCTGTTTACATCTCTACTTGCAAGTGTATATGTGTGTATACAAGAGAAGTATGATCAGTTTCCTCCAAAAAGATACAGTCCTGCTGGTCATGGTGGCACATACCTGTAATCCCAGGACTTGGGAGGCTGAGGCAGGAGAATTACTGTGAGTTCCGCCACGTGGTAAGTTCAAGACCAGCATCAATTATTGAGATCCTGTCTCAATAAAAGAGAGGGGCCCTGGGGATGTGGTTCAGTAGTAGGATTCTTGCTCTGTATTCACAAAGCCCTGGGTTTAATCCCTAGCACCACCAAAAAAAAGAAAAGAAAAAGAATCTTCCCTTTAGAGGCTGGGAACATAGCTCAGTGGCACACCACCTTCCTGGCAAGCATAAGGTCCTGAGTTGGATCTCCAGTACTTCTTTAAAAAAAAAGAAAGGACAGTACCATGTGTAGACTTTACCTTCAAAAGTATGCCATCAAAGGTATCTCACAATAATTTACAAAGCCAGAGTAATGGGAAGACTTAGGTTTATAAGAATGTCAAAGTATTCATCTATTTTCAACATACATTAAGTTGAATATTACAGTGTTTAAAATGTGATTTTCAGAGTAGCTTACAAAATAGAAAAACTTTAGACACTACTGGAAGCTTTTACTCTTTACTAAGAATACTTGTAGTCCAGGTTTTGAAAAGAATCTCCACATAACAAACTTAAAGCTTCTGTTCATTATTCCAAGTAAGGGAACTGTAACAGCGAAGATTTGAACCCAGATCTATTAAATACAAAGCTAGCATTTTTTCGTGGTACTGCTTTTTCCTGTCTAGCATTTGGTGTTAAAGTGATAATGAAACACAGACCTTGAGCATGCTAAGGAAGCATTCCACCACTGAATTCCATCCCCAACCTGAGTGAGTACATTCTGTATATGTAGGTTTTCAGCTCTTAGTAGAAAATGTTTCAGGGGAAAAAAGCCAAAACGTGGTAGCACTTTTTTTTAAAATTAAAAATATTTTTAAAACCAGAACTTCACAGGTTGTCTGGTTTCTTCAATATTACTAGTTATAACTTTGTGAGGGGAGGGCATTTTGGGTTTTTTTAAGGCAGGGTCTCAGTGTATTGTAGCCTAGGCTGGTCTCAAACTCACAGAAGCCCCCTTCCTGTGCCTCAAGAGTGCTGATATTACAGGTGTGTGCCACCTCGCCCAGCAGTTTTATTAGTGATAATTTTGTATTAGGCTGGGTTTAAACTGCATGAATCTGCTATTCTTGCTCGAATTATATTTGCTGTATTTGATTATACAGATAATATAATACAGGTGCCCACCCCTTGTTTGAAACCAGGGGACTATATATTTACAAGTATTCCCATATATAGGAATTCATAGTTTTTCAAGAAAATTTTAAAAGATAATTGAGTGCATGTATCATAAAAAGTACTATTACTAGGGTTGGGTTCTATAATCAAACACATCAATATTTTAATGAAATTTATGGATTTTCACACTAAATGAAGATTGTTTAAAAGCCTTACATGTAGGTCAAGTCAGTATTCACCAGCATGCAAGCCAGGAAAAGATTTTAATTTTCAGAACTTTGGATTTCTAAATTGCAAATTAGTGACGCAGACCTTTTTTTTTTTTTTTTTTGGTCTTACTCGTTTTTATCAGTACCAGGGATCGAACTCAGGACTGCCTGCTTGCAAGGCAGGCCCTTATGCCACTGAGCTAAATCCCCAGCCCCAGTGACGCAGACCTTTAACAGCATACATTTTTTAATAATGCTTTTAAACCCCATACTGGTGTCAC